GTCGATCCACCGCGGGGTGGCGAAGTTGATGGCCTCCGCGCAGTTGAAGCCGTGGTTGAAGCCGGCGTGGTAGCCGTAGGGGAACGTCACCATGAACTCCCCAGCCTCCTGGGTGATCCGACCGAACGGGACCCCGTTCTCTCTGAGGACCGTGGGCGAGATGAGCGCCACCTTGTGGCGCAGGAAGGCCTCGCAGCCGCGAGAGCTGCCCGGGAAGAGCTCCCTGGCCAGGCGCTCCAGGCGCTGGCCGTGCTCCGGGGGCACCGCGTACCAGGTTTTGGGCTCCCCGAAGTGCAGGTAGTTGATGCTGTAAAGGTCCATGTCTTCCGTGTGCCAGGCGAAGGTGGTCTTCCACATGCCAAAGTACAGGTAGGGGGTGTTGACGCCTTCGATGACGACCCCACACTCCTGCTTCAGCAGGTCCTGGATGGTCCCCAGGCGCCCAAGGTTCCAGTGCTCGGTGTTCGCGTCAAATAAGGAGCCACTGATGTCGGCGCCGTATATGGGCGCATCGTAGAGGCGGGTTTTCCAATATTTGCGCTCCAGGTCGTCAAAATCCAAGTGCGGTGGGGTCCGGTATTTGCCACTGTGGGCCAGGTGGCGGTACTCGCCCACGGTCATGGCCCTCTTCTCCCTGTGGTATTGGATGAACACGCCTGCCCGCCCCGAGGCCACCTGCTGGAGGGGGGTGGCTATTAAGATGTCGTTGATGTCCTCGTAGGTCTGCCTGGCTTTCCATTCCTTGGGCGGAATTATCTTAGCCAGGCCAGCTCGGTGGGCACCTTGGGATTCCATGTAATCAACGTATTTGTTGAAATCTTTAAATTCTTCCATGGTTGGGTGGAAGGTCATGATTGCCCCACTTGGGTTCTGGGTACCACAGAGCTTAGACTTCATGGTTATAACAGCAGACTCCCAGGTTCTTAGGTATGTTTTAGATACCTGAGAATGATGCGAGTACTGTCTTCTCGATTTTTTTTTTTTTTTAAGTTTTGGTGTACCTGTGAGGAGTAACTCAGACTTGAGCCTTTAAATAAATAAGCCTTTTTCAGGCTTGCTGACTCACTAGTGGGACTCCACTCCGGTCAGCATGTTGTGCCTGAAGGAAATGCAGTAGGTCCCAGGGGAGCAGACAGCTTGAGACTTGAAGGCTCAGTGTGTAGCTCTGTGAGGTTCCTCATTTGGGGTTTTGGTGTCTCCGAAGCTTCTCCTGATTCACAGGCTTGAATTCATGGATGGCTCCTCACCCTACTGTAGTGGAAAGTCTCTTCAAGGAGATTTAACAGCTAAACTGGAAAAAAAGAATACAGAATACTGGGGGGGAAATTAGCAAAAACAAAACCCTAATAGAAGTGATTCTGAAACTAGATTATTAGAAAAGACTATTAGAAGTGAAAAAAACATAAGCATGAAGAGAAAACTACAAATGGCCACATTATGATGAAATAGGGAACACAGCTAAAAATCCAGCAGGGAAATTTTTAAAAAATTATAGTTCAATCTCATAAACACCTTGGTGCTAATAATTTTGAGAACTAAAATAGATTATTTCCTCAAAAGTATAAATACGCCAAAGTGGTCCAAGAAAAAAGTAAAATACTGATACATACCAATAAACTAAATAAAAATATAACAGTGGTTTAAATATGAGAAGTTCCTGGGCTCAGGTGTGGCTATAGCAATGTCCAGTGGAAGCCAGAGTCAGTGACTCAGAGGCTCAGATATTACTTGGGGAGGGAGGGATTCAGCTAGGTTCTCAGCATCATCCATAAAAACTTCACACATCATTTTGTAAGTGCATTCTGATTCTTACGTCATCAAACTTTTCTCCGGTGTTCTGTTCAGTTTACCTGAGGCTAAAGGCAAAACCTGGAAGCCAAACCAGAAGAGGGCAACACTGGGTAAGTACTCTATAGGGCCAACTTTATCTAGGGGCAGAGTTGCAAAAATCTTAATATTTTATCACATCTTTACTACAGCAGGGCATTAAAAGAAAAACACGTCATAAATTACTGCAAGGATTGTTTTAAAAATCTAGCAGTGTTACCAAGTACGTTAACAGAAAAAATGGAAAAATTGTCATCTGTTCCATGCAGAAACATATTTGATATAACTCAACATCGATTTCATTATTTTAATACATGCTGTAAAAAAAAAAAAAAAAGTGCCCTGNATTCCTCATAGGCAATTATTCTGCTGGTGTGTGTTTTTAAAAAAAAAAAAAAAAGTGCCCTGGCTGGTTTGGCTCAGTGGTTAGAGCGTCGGCCCGTGGACTGAAGGATTGGTCCCTGGTTTGATTCTGACCAAGGGCACCTACTTCGGTTGCAGGCTTGATCCCCAGCTCTGGTTGGGGTGTGTGTGGGAGGCAACCAATCGATGTGTCCCCCTCCCACCAAAGTTTCTCTCAATCTCTCTCTCTCTCTCTCTCTCTCTCTCTCTCCCTTCCACTCTCTCTGAAAAGTAATGGAAAAAATATCCTCTGGTGAGGATTTAAAAAATAATAAAATGAAATTAAAATTAAACAAGAAATAAAGGCTTCTAAACACCAGTTAACAATCAATTATAAGGTGAAATAACAGAAAGGTTTCAGTTCCCTTAAAAAATACAAGGCCCTAAAATAAAAAAAATAAGTACAATGCCCTGCTTCGCCAGCGTGGCTCAGTGGTTGAGCATCGAGCTATGAACCAGGAGGTCACAGTTGGATTCCCAGTCCCAGCACATGCCCAGGTTGCAGGCTTGAGCCCCAGTAGGGGGTGTGCAGGAGGCAACCACTCAATGACTCTTTCTCGTCATTCATAGTTCTAGCTCTCTCCCTCTCCCTTTCTCTCTCTGAAATCAATAAAAAACACTAAAAAATATTTTTTAAAAGAAATACAAGGCCCTAATGGAGAAGTCAAAAAATGAAATATACATAATATTTGTACTTTTCATAAATAAATGAGACGTTACCAGGAAAAAGTTGCTTTCTAATATAAAATAATTTCCTTTAAGGATTCAGCCTACATGAAACATGCTGTGCTCAAGGTCAGCCTAAGTTAGTCCCATCCCAACTGTAATACCCCTATATCCAATAAAAAAAAAAATCTATAATTTTATCTCACTTATTATCCAAGTCCCTTCCAATTGATTCACTCTTTAACCAAATCTAGAAACCCTCTTATTGGACACCAGCTCCCAAAATACCAGGCTTTTCCCTGAAAAATCTTTGTGATTTTTACCAAGGAATTATTAAGAAAAAAATTAACCCCACATGTCTGAAAAACACGGTTTAAAAATAGAAACTTGCTTTAACCCAAGGAAATGATGCTATCCCAATGCATATTTCTTAATCATAAGTAATATAAAACTATAGTCAGTTCTTTAAACTTCTAATACGAAAATAACGCTTTTGGTCACAAGCACAAATAACAGAAACAAAGTGATCTACCTTCCACCAGCAAAATCCCAGTTCCAGGCAGGACTTTATCGTCTTGATAGCTACCCTTCAAATGCACCCCTACATGCAGATGGGTCTGGCTTTATATTCCTGCAGTAGCTTTACCCAATTAGTGGCCTGGGGTGTGGTTAGTTTATCACTGTCCAGCCCCGCCCACTTTTTTAAAAAGCACACACCAGCCCAGCTCACTTTTAAAGCAAACTTAAGAGGTTGACAATAAAGGAGTGAGAAAGTGAAAGCATGCAAATATTAAACCAAAAAAACCCCAACCCTGCTCCCGCAGTACTTAATATCAAATGTATTTATAGGATAAAGGAAGGACAGTATATCGTTATCAAAAAGAAAAAAATCACTAAGAAAATATTACGATGAACTTTATGCACCTAAACACAGCTCTGTGACATAGATAGAGTCTATGTCAGTATTACCTTATAATTCACAGGTCATACTGATATATTTGCAATCATGGTGGAAGTTGTTTTAAAAAACACCATTCTCTCAGAACCTGATAATCAGAGAAGAAAATTAAATGCTATGAAAGTCTGAACTGTAACAACTTCGATCACGTAACCTGCAACCACATAACAAATGGGAAATGCTTTTAAATATATGTAAAGCATTTATAAAGTGTGATAAATATAAGACCACAAAATAAATATCAATAAAAATTCCATAGAATTAACATATTGAGCACCATCTTGACCACAACAAAATAAAATTAAAAGTCCGAAATAAAAGGCCTCCCTCCTGCCCCTCCCAGACTGCCTCACTGAATCACCACTTTCTTGACTTCTAACCTCATGATTCATTTTGCCCATTTCTTCTTTTAAAATTTATCTTTATCATTGAAAGTATTACAAATGTCCCATTTTTTCCTCCATCGATTCCCTCCACC